TGAAAAATTTTCAATTGGGCAGAATAACGTATCATAATTTTTCTTTTTCTGAGTTTGGTTGGTTTTTCTGGAAATGCATATGATCTTTAGCGGGACAGAGAATGGAGAGAAAAATTATTTAAGAAAAAATTCTTTTGAAAATGTATCTAATTAATTAAAAGCTAAGGAAAATTTTTGCATCTTTCTCTGGCCATAGAAAGAAACTTTTTCCTTTAGTTTCCACTCAGTTGAAATAGTATATTCTCCTCAAGTTATAAAATTCAACCATTTTATACACAAGGGCTCCTACAGGTCATTGTTGGCATTCTCTGCTCAGCCCTTCTGTCCTGAATCTTTGGTTTCCTGTTTCTTCAAGCACTGATTAGCAATATCATTCTTCTCACTCTGAGACTTTGCCATCATTCATTTTCTCAAGGCTTTAGGAACTATAAAGTTTGGTTCATAGGTAAACTTTTTGTTTCTATTTATACAAAGAATGGAGAAACATTATAGTACCCTTCCCCTACTAAGCCTAAGGTTGTCCTTCCGCCCCACTCCTCCAGTGCATATTATTTAAATAGAGGATAGAAGCTGAAAAGTGACCACTATGTGAAGAACCACATAACCCCAAATTTCTTCCCTGCCACCCCTTTCTGGTTTTTCCTTATAAGAATCCTACAGACACTATTCTTTCACCCCTCCTGACATTCTCTTTTTAGGAGAGGGGAGAAATTGAATTAAATTTCTTGAATGCCTATTGTGCCAGACACTTAAATTATATCATTTAATTTGAAGTAACAATGTTACAAATGAAGAATGAGAGATACAGGAGATAGGTGACTTATGACCCATGGTCACACAGCCAAGGACATGTATGTCCTCTATAATAAATTATTCTCTCATTCAAACCCTTGCTCAGTTACCTCTGGTAAAATCTCTCTCTGTGCTTATTTCTTTCAGACCTTTTGTTAATTAAATCAAGACCAAAAAAGAAAAACACACACACACACACACAAAACACCATAAAGGTACTACTAGTAATACATTTGAAATCAAAAGAAAGCTATACTTGGTGAGGGAAACTGTACATAAGTAGTTCCATAAACCTTTCTGACCTTGAAAGTTGGTTTAGAATCTTTCTGAAACAATCATTATATCTCCTCTTCTTCCAAATAAATCTGTTTGTCCTCGGGCTCCATCATTCAAGATAAATAAAACACTTTCTAATTTAATGCTACTTTGATTACTAGCATTGCAACAGTATTTTTTTCCAACATTTTATTCTTCCCTAGGGTCTTAGATCTTTGTAGAACAGACTAGCAACTCAAAGCACCATTTACAATTTTGTTTCTATGGAGAGAAAGGCTATGAAAGTTTCCAAAGAGCCAATGCACAAATACTTTGTGGGACACACTGTTGTCATGTCTGGGACTACTAATATTTGTAAAATGAGTGTTCAAAACAAAAACAGATCTTTCAACAGGAGCATTCAGGGACAGATGGGGCTCCTGGATTCAGCCTCCTACCTACCCCACCCCACCCCATCCCAACACACACATACACACAAAGTTGATTGGAGTTCTATAAAAATAATCTAGTACTCAGGCAGTTCAAAGTAAATTGAGGAGGAGGAGAAAAATAGAGATATTACTATAGCCCCTTATATGACCATAAATATTATTGATAATTTATTTTAAGATTTTAGTTAATTCCCATCTTAATTAAGCTCATGTAAAATTCATAGTTGTCCATTGAAGTACTGAAATTTCAAGATTAAAGTTCACAACAAATTATTATTTGCATATTACATTTTTTTAAAAATAAAAGCAAAAACCTATTCTGATCTGGAATTTGAAGACAATTAGAATATTATCTATAGGTGTAGGAAGATTTAATCAGAAGTCTTACTTGTTGGAAATTTTCAGTAGTTAATTATTACACATCTATTAAAGTCATTTCTTTTAGATTACTTTTTATCTTTAAGACAAAGAACACAAATTCTCGAAAGGATTCTTTCATAAACTGCTACCAAGAACTTTCTAGAAACTTCCTACTAAAAAATATTTTTATCTTAATTTCTGAGAACTTATAACTTTGTAAAAATATTCATTCACCACAGTTTTTATAAAAATATTGTTACTTTTCCCTTTGTAACATTGTTTATAATTGTTATATTTAATTTTAGGCATGTTAATGTAAAAGTTAAATCTGCCCTTCGTTAAATGTAATTTTAAAAATAGAGAAATCCAAGCAGCCAAATAAATTGAGAATTTCTTTGTACTTTGGGTGGATATCTCTAACCAAAACCAGATTTTTAAAAAAATTACTTGATTCTAAAGATGTTATCTTGAAACTCAAAACTTTACAAATTATCAAAGAGAGAGAGAGACAGATAAGCATTGGGAAAGGAAAAAGTAAGAATTAAGTTTGCAAGCAAACTAGCAAAGGGTATAAGGGAGTCATACTTCAGGACTGACTAGCAAAATAAGAAAACATAGCAAGTATTTAAAGAGAAAAAACACACACAAAATTATGAAGGTTGCTAAATTTACATTGCTATTAATAATGAGAAAACAGAAACTTTATCAAAATCATGGTATTCACAAAGATCATGTCATATCTTCGAGGAGATATGATGGGGGAGTCTGGATTTATAGGACACAGTCAAGGTTTTATTATTTGGGAACCAGTCAGCTTTATTTTTGCTTTATCTTGGGAAACAAGGTATTGTTTTTCAACTGTAGAATGCTAAATGCTCACAGTATTGAAATCAAGGCAAAGTGCCTGGTTTTGCTTTTACAAAATGCATATTTTTACTTAATGATCATTCTGTCCTTGTCCCTTACTGTGAATATGAAGGGCTTTGCATGGTTATTTTAAAGGGTTTTTACATGGTTAATTTAGTTGACATATCTGTTAAAATACCTTCTCTCTGAATTTTTTTTAAGCTTTCACTAGCCCAAATACGAGCACTCCCACCTATTTCTCATACTCCGTAATACAGACTGGCAGCTTTTAATATGTATCCCATAATCAACCACCAATGCTAATTTCTTGTTTAACAAAGTATTAAAGCCAAGCCTCACTCATAATAAATCTCTGTTTTATAAGAAATGCCGGTAATAAGAAAGTAATCTTAAAATAAGTTTCATAAAAGTAAACAGAAATAAATAGAGCAGTCACTTTGAAATATTTAAACACAATATAGATAAATCAAATTGAAAATTTTTAGAGGAAAAAATTATCTTTAAGTCCAGATGCTAAATTTTGAATGTTTCCACTGTAGAAGATAGGTTAAATGTCCAAACTGCCTTGGTATCAAAATTAAAGGGTGCCAGAAGTACAGTTAGGTTTATAACCTTTCATCAAATCTACTTTTGACATACACTCAAAGTTTGAATCAAAGTTTCTGAATATTTTTGTGGCTATAAGAAATAATTCTATTCTTAAAGCATAACAGTTAAAACAATTAATCATTCTGAAAAAGAAGATCACAGAGATTGGCTTATAGGATAATTAACCCTAATCATTATCTGTTACTAATCTACCCATGTGGTAACTCAATTTTAAGGATTTTGTTGGAAACAATATTATTTCACAGCGATTCAAACTTTTCGGCTTATTAACAACTTTGAAACTAAAATTACCATTCAGTTATTTTACAAAATGATTATTTTATTTTTCGGTCCTTCTAAACTTTGTTACCCTGCTTGGGTATGCTGCACTCTTCTGGGCATAGAATTTCACAGCAGTTATCAAAAATAACCAAGTCATAATGTCGACTTTATCAAACAATATTTTTCCATCAACAGAAACTTTAGATGTATGACTCATCTCACATAAAACAAATGTACAACAAATAATGATGGTTACAATGAATACTTGAATAAAAACTGTAATAAGGATTTATGATTTACTTTTATATTTTTTCATACAGTCTAACGCCTGAAAACAACTATTGTGGGCATCTTCCTAAAAAGGGCCGGCTGTTTCCTTTGTTTTAAGACAACAAGCAGAAACAGAGCTAAAATCATGTTTCCAAAGAAGGATGAGGGATAGGATAAGGCTGCTACAAGCTAGCTTTCAGAAATGGGAAGTTAGTCAACTTTTTCCTGATAACTCTTTATTTGCAGAGCAACAGGGGAATTACGAACACATTTTGGAAAATAATACTGTCTTGAAAACAATTTCTGTTGGACCAAGTTCTTACTTCCATAGAAGTAATCAAATCCAAGACTTAATTTCAACACCGTGTTCAAATTTATTACTTGCAGCTCTGGCAACATGAAACTGTCTTCTTTAAATGGAAAATGTGACCAACTTCTATGAAGTAAATGAATTTTGAAAGTGGGTGTGGGTGGGGGAGACACACACTTTTTTTTTTTTTTTAAGTGGGAGAGGATGCACACGAAGACGTCTAAGCAACCACAAAACTAAGACTTAGGATGTTAGACCAGGGAGCTCAAAAGCTCACCGGATCACATCTCCTCTTCTAGGGACTTTTGGTTTAACTGATAAGGGGCATCGGCGGGGGGAAAGAAGGTAATTCTTGAAAAGACGTGCTTCCTAACGATCCAGCGTCCGGTAATTCTCCTGGAGACCCCGCCCTTCCCGGGACCCCCTCGGGACTGGGCACAAGTCCAGAAGGCGACAGAGGGGTTCCGCGTCGGCTCAGGCGCCTCCTCAGCAACTCGAGAACCACCACCCCCCGGGACCCGGGACAGAGGCCAGCGCAGGATAAAGGCCCCGACCCCGAGCGCTGCACATCGCCTCGCGTCGGAGGCCTCCGCCGCTCCCGCCCGCCTAGCGCCTCCAGGACCCGCGACCTTGGCGCCCGGCGGGGCTTCTTCCCGTAAACTCCCCGCCCGGCGCGGCCTCCTCCCCGCCTCGGCTCCGCCCCCGAGGTGCCCTGAGCGGCGCGTGATTGGCCCGGCCATGCCATCACTCTCCGGACGCGTTACCGCCCCCGTTTCCGACCGCCCAGAGACCCGCAGCGGTATTAGTGCTCGCGGGGCCGCGGAGGAGGGCATCGTGCTACCCTGCTCGCTCCAGCTCGCCCGCGGGTCGGCGCGCTCGTCCAGCAAAGCGGCGCCCAGGGCTGCGGAGCTGCCGGGCTGCACACTCACCGCCGCCTGGGAAGCGGAGACAGCTAGTCTAGCTCCGAGATGGGGAGAGGGCGAAGTTGACGAGCCCCCTACCCACACCGCGCCCCTCCAGCCCCGAGGTGCGCCGCCCTCTCCAGGAGGTGCCCGCACGCGGCCCTGCTCCAGGTGTGCGCGGGACACCCCGCCCCCTGGGACCCGGAAACTTCACCCCAAGTCCAAAGAGCGGACTCCGAGGGCGGTGCCGGGAGCCGGACTCCCGACTCCGCGCAGGGAGAGCTGTCCTGGCGGCTCTCGCGGCGGTCAGAGGGAGTCGACCCGCTGGAAACTTTGTCACCATCATTGTAAATACTGCGTTTTACTGTTTCCCTCCCCGCAGGGTCTGCATCCTGCTGCCTGTCGCGCGTGCTTGTTTGCCAAAGGAGCCACCCCAGGAAGAAGACCCAGAGGGGAGTTGTTCCCCAAGGGGATACCTGCAGCCCAGACGAGGGGTTTGGGCGGCCTGGATGCGCAGGACCCAGACCCGCAGCCGCTGACGCCGGTCGGCGGCGAAGTTTGGCTGCTGAGCGGCGCGGCGCAGGGCCACTGGACAGCGGGCAGCCAGGCGGCCGCGGAGGCGGGCGCGATGCCGGTGGGGGGCCTGTTGCCGCTTTTCAGCAGCCCCGTGGGGGGCGGCCTGGGCGGGGGTCTCGGCGGCGGCAGCGGCGGCGGTGGCAGGAAGGGGTCGGGCCCCGCTGCCTTCCGCCTGACGGAGAAGTTCGTGCTGCTGCTGGTGTTCAGCGCCTTCATCACGCTTTGCTTCGGGGCGATCTTCTTCCTGCCCGACTCCTCCAAGCTGCTCAGCGGGGTCCTGTTCCACTCCAGCCCCGCCCTGCAGTCGGCCGCCGACCACAAGCCCGGGCCCGGGGGACACGCTGAGGACGCGGCGGAAGGGCGAGCTGGGCGCGGCGAGGAGGGTGCGCCCGGGGACCCCGCGGCCGCCCTGGAGGACAATTTGGCCAGGATCCGCGAAAACCACGAGCGGGCTCTCAGGGAAGCCAAAGAGACACTGCAGAAACTGCCCGAGGAGATCCAAAGAGACATCCTGCTGGAGAAGGAAAAGGTGGCCCAGGACCAGCTGCGTGACAAGGCGGTGTTCAGGAGGCTGCCCCCAGTGGCTTTCGTGCCCCCCGTCGGGGCGGTTGGCCGGGAGCCGGCGGACGCAGCCATCCGAGAGAAGAGGGCAAAGATTAAAGAGGTGAGTGCACTGTGCTGGAGATCCCTTCCGACCCTCATGGAGGTTTTCCACCTCCACCAGGTGCAGTGTCAAAGGCTCTTTTTTTCAATATTATAGTAGATGTAGCCGATTACCACCTGAGATTGAATCCCCATTGCTTCTAACTTGCATGTTGGGTGAGCATAAGCCATGCGAGGTAGGTATTAAACACATGGGCAGGTGGTGTGCAAACCTCTTTCGCTCACTGATCCACGGTTAATAGTCCCTGAGAACAGTGACAGTTGAAGGTCCCAAACAGCCCCCAATAAGACTTGAACATGGCTTTGAAATGAAGCTTGAATGTAAACACAAAGCATCAATCACTTGATAAAAAGATTCTAACAGTAAGCCAGCACACCCCAGTGTTCAGTCATGTGGCCCCATTCTGCCAGGTGGCATCCTGTATGTACTTAAAGACTATGAAGGTGGTACTTGAGAACTTGCTATCGTGGGAGCACACTTTATTTTTTAAAAAAATGAAAAATTGAAAAAGCTAGCCTACTGCCTCTTGCATTTCTCCTGTAGTAGGGGGGACAAAAAAAGTATTTCATGTGATGCAACAGGTTTGCCTCCTCAGCAGTACAATGATAAACTTCATCTAGGATAAACATGGACTTTGATTAGTCATAATGTCTTTTTCATAATTTTCAGTTAGAACTTGTAACATGATTAGTTCATGACTAGCTTAAAGCTGAAGAGGACCTTAAAATAATATCGGACTGTCCTTTAAAATAAGAAAGTTGAAGGGCCCAGAGCCCCAGAACCAGTTAGTAACCGAGTCGGGACTTGAAGCCCTGACTCCCTCCCAGTCACCTGTCACCAGGCTCTCTGTGGACATGCCTCCTTTCACAGCTATTCTCGTGTGTGAAATTATGCCAGCAACAATCCAAGAGCTGTAGAAACCATATTAAAAACATTTCATCCCACATCTTGATTCAGATTTCTAAAATACATTATGAGTGGAAATAATGTTTTTGTCATTTTTAAAAATTTCAGAGTTTCTATGAAATAAATTTTGTGTTTTGACATTGAGTAGATAATCAGAAGAAGCTTCCTTCAGGCAGTGAACAGAATTTTGAGGTGGTGAAGTGGTATTTAGTTTGAGTGGCTACAGAATGGAGATCACTGATTGTCATAGAATTTGTGACTTTACTCTAAGACCAGGTACATTTGATTAAGCTGTAATAAGCAAATTAAAGCAGATTTGGGTCCCTGTCAGTTGACCCTAGGTAGAATGCCTTTGTCCCTCCTGTGCAGAGACCTTTCTTCCACAGCCCATCAGCAGTTCTGCTTTGAAACCCTTTCTCAAGCATAGAAGCCTCCCAGATTTGGGAGAATGGATTTTACTCTCCTTGACAACTTCTGTCTAGCTGTTTCCCTTCATGAAATTCTGTCAGGGCTACCAAACCAGGGAGGTGGAAAAAACTCTACTTCTCACCAACCATCTCCCCCACTCTTCATCTCCCAGCCTCTTTAAAAATATCCAACCAAAACCCATAGGTAAATTAGCCCCAAGTCTATATCTGCTTATATTTCCCTTAAGCTTGAAGCAGTGTAATTCACACATCTCATGCCTCTAAATTCCTATGAGCTGCCAGTTAGTGCAGCTCACTGTTGTCTAAGGAAATTATTTAAAATATTAAAGATGCATGGATGTTAAAAAGCTTTTGGTACTGACCAATAGCAATTAAAAGTGCATTTAGAGCAGAAGTAGTGGAACAGTAGCAGTCAATTCAGGGCAGCATATTGACAGTATGCACATCTTTCCTTATTAGATCCATGTTATCTGTGTCTCTAAAGCAAAAAATCTTAATTAATCATGTAAAGGAAATTTATGTAGCTTTCTGTGTCTGTGTGATGCTAATATCTTAGCACCTAAATTTTTGAAATTGCCCAGTCTTGCATAAAGTGATAGAACTAAAAGTGTTCTTTAAAATTCCATGTTGTCATGAGAACCAATCCCTTCCCCCCCTCCCAAAAAAAAGCCAGCATAATTAGCTTCAGCATTTATTCAAAGGCTAACAGGAAGAAATGGATTATGGCAGATGTGTTCCTTTGTAAACCAAAAGAAGAAAAGGTAACTGATGCTGTTCTAAAACTG